AGCTCATGTTTTAATGAAAAATAAGAGGCAAATATCATTACAGAAGAATTCGCTCTGAATCAGAATTCACCCAGGCTAGAAATCAGCAGTGCAGCAGTAGATAAATTATCTGTTCCTTTCATTTTAACTGAGAATATTTATTGTCAACTTCTTAAAGAAAGTCATGAAGAAAACAATAAGACACCATTTCCTAAAATCGGAAATGATTTTCAAAGTAAATCATCTTTAGAAAATTGTTTTTTATTAAACACTATAAATGTAATTAACGAGTGTGTTCTAGATTTATGGCATGTTAATGATATGAATATTCAAAAGACTTTATCATTATTGATTAATAATAATAAACCAAACAAAACCAAAAACATGAATTTAAAAATAAATGTTGTATTAAAGGACAACATTCAGGTCTCAAAGATTAATGTTTGTGGAACAAAAAATAGTTGATAAGCAGATAAACGAGTGGTTGCAAATGAGAATAATTAAATTATCTAGTTCTGAATACTCATTCCTAGCACACAGACTATGCGCCGATTTCAGACAATTAAATAAAAAAAGTGGTGAAAGATCCTTTATCTGTGAATTAGGTAGAGGAAGTGCTTAATCATTTGGGAGAAAGGCAAGTTTTTTTCAACTTTGAATTTAAAAAGTGGATTTTCCCATATTCCAGTTGAGGAAATACATACAAAATATTTAGCATTTATTTGTCATGCAGGTTTATTTGAATTTTTAAGCACTCTATTTGGTTTGACCACAAGTCCTAGTGCATTTTTAAGATTTATCTATAATATTACTCAGAGAACTCAGAGAAGTTATAATTTACATGGATGTTGTAATTTACAACATTTATAATACACAGTTGTAATTTACATGGATGATTTTATCATACCTTCCCATGACGAAACAGACAATTTAGAAAAACTTAAACATGTTTTAAAAGTAGCATCAGAATATGGATCAGAAATTCATTTTAAAAAATGTCCATTGCTAAAAAGAAAAATTGAACTTTTCATTTATTTAAATGAACAGGGTACAATTCATCCATACCCAAATATGAAGCTGGCAGTTAAAAAATTTTCCTTAATCTAAAAATGTCAAGCAAATGCAAAGCTGCCTTGTTCTCACAGGGTATTTCAGAAAATTTGTACCTGGTTATTAAAAAATAGCAAAGCCATTGAGTGATATGCTCCATCATCAATTTTAAATTTGAACTAATGCAGACATGGATATTTAACAATCTTAAACTTTTGAGCTGAAGTCCTGTACTTCATATCTTCCAGCAGTTAAAACCTTTGGAACTACATATGGACACTAGTAGTCATGGTTTCACTGCTGTGTAGTTTCAACATGCAGATGATGGACAGCTACATTCAATCCACTACATGAGAAAAAAAAAAAAAAAAAAATACTACAACAAGAAAAACTATCAAGTTATGAACTCAAAATACTCTTGATCGTCGTAGCCCTAAAGAAATTTCGAAGTTAGCTCTTACAGAAAAACGTCAAAACAGTCAACAACTGTGATGCATTTAAAAAAATAATGCAGAAGAAATACTAATGCCAATGATAGCCAGATAGGCACTACTATTCGAAAAGTTTGAATACGAGGTCATCCACAGACTAAATCATCAAATGAGACATGTTGATGCATTGAGCAGGAAAACTGTGTGCATGTGTCACCCATTTGCAAAGTGAAATCACCACTAAGATTGCAACAACACAAAAGGCTGATAAGCATCTTCAATTATTGAAAACTCTGCTCAAGAAAGGATTCAGATATGACCACCTCCAAAAAGATAATATGTTGTATCTGCAGCACTGTGGTGAGAAACTCATCATTGTGACAGAAGTGATGGAGTTAAGAGATTATTCGTGACATAAATAACAAAAGGCACTTTGCTATACGAAAGACTGAAGATCTGTTTAAAAGAGATTTCCGTATTTTGAATGCTAAAAGGAAAATTGAGCAATTATCATGAAATGTGTCAGGTGCATCCTATGCAAAAAGAGAGGCAAAGGCGAAGGTCTACTAAGTCCCATTCCAAAAGACAATATTCTTTAAGCACATACCACATTGATTTCATCAGTCCTCTCCCATCTATAAATAAGAAATACCACTATATATTTACAGTGGTAGGTGCTTTTACAAAATTTGTCTGGTTTTAGACGAATGACAACATAAACAGTAGAGGCTCTGAAGATCTAATAAGCTGTCTTCGCAAATCCCTCAAGAATTTTCTCCAACAAAGGATCCGCCTTCATTTCAAAAGACTTTGATGATTACTATAAGATGAAGGAATTCAGCACATGTAGATCACAACAGAAGTGCCAATGGCCAGATTGAAAGAATTCATAGAATCCTCATCCCAAAGCTTGCAAAACTGTCAATATATAATCCTGTGAAATGGTTCAAGTTCACTTTGGTTGTCCAATGAATCATCAACAAATCCACCAAATTAACTCCCTTCAAGTTGATGATAGGAGAAAAGATGTGAAACAAGGCAGACCAAAGAATCAGAAAAATCCTAAAGTCCACAGTCCAGAGAGTATTTGTGAAGAAACCAAAGTGAATATCTTTAAAGTGCAAGAACAGAACCAAGGACAATATAACCAACACCACAGAACTTCTTTACAAAGTCAATGACTTAGTACCCATGAAAAAAACACAGTTAAAAGGAGGTCTCAAGCTTAGATCCAAGTTCTTAGGATCTTGCAAAGTGGTCAAGATAAAGCCACATAACAACTACAATGTAGCAAAAGTAAGATCTCAATGAAGAACCTGAAGCAACTTTCATTTCAGCTGACTACATGAAACTCTGTGTTCAGAAGTCATACACTGATGACTGAGTGCTGTGGAAATTGAACCACAACCCTTCACCAAGAATGTATGTTTCCCTCTCTCATCCATCGCATCCTGGTGAACAATACGGCCACTGCAGAAGATCATCACACAAATACTATTTTACCTTGCAACAGTCCTGCCTGCATGATACACTAAAGAATAATTTTTCGGCCTGTAGTTAAAAATATTTGCCCACCCATGATGTGGATTATAACTTGATGTACAGACCACATAACTAACTTAAACGCTGTTACAATTCAAGTACATTTTTTCACCAGGATGGAATTGGATTGAATTATGTGATTATGGGCAAAGCACACTATGGTTCTCTCTTTAAGGGAGGGGATGCCATAATGACAGGACTGGCACCCATAAACCCTGCATTTCTTAAATTCTGTCATCCAATGAATCCCTAAATTTTAATAATTCCACTACCCTTAAATTATGCCACCTAGTGTGGCTGTACTGATTACACTGGTTCTGGTACTGGCCCTGCTTCATGAAAGACTTTTAAGAGAAATGACCTGTACTATGATACACATAGAGACACCATGAAAATGCTTATGCAGCTAGTCAGTTCAACATGATTTTAGCAAGGTCAAACCAATAGCTTCCAGTGGTTTAATCCAAGTGACCACTGAATGACCCTGGCTTCATTGGAAAAATAATATATGATAGAAGTGGTCTATTTGAACAGGATAGCACACTCTTTACATTGTGCAAACTTCTCAAGAATGATAAAGAGGTCAGAATCTTTCTCTGTTTTCCAAATGTCTCATGTTTCAATTTATTCAAATATGCATTATATGTGTCAAGAAAATAAATAAATCAACAGCAGTTCCATGTCATAATTTACATAAATTCAGGACCTGATGAAAACATTCTTGCATCAGTTACTCTGTGATACCTTCAAACATCATGGAGTGTCAATTCTTGGAGATAGTTAGAAGCAGACAAAAAAGAACAATGTATTAAATGAACAATCCTGATTTTTATCAATACAATGAAATAAATTGTGCACGTTTTCTTGATTTTGTGAGAATGCTGATTTTGGATTCCTCCCCCCTCTTTTTAAACCCTGTATGGCTTGCAATGGATTTGATAAGATATCTTGAATTATTTTAATTTTCTACACTTCTTAAATGAGTAGTTCGGGAAGGGGCTAGACTGGAATGCTTCCATTTTCTGCCTTGTATCATTTTTGAATGCCTATTTCTTTATCAGTACCTACATTACAGCTGTGGTTTGAGTACAACTTCTTTCAAGTGCTTTGCAAGTAATCATGCAAAAGTCTCTGGGTAGCTTCTAGATGCATTTATTGTTAAAATAAAGAATTTGATGCAAATGATTCTAATAGCTTGAAAGAATTTCAGTACAATGATGTAAGCAATGACACAGATGGTGATTTAGAAAATGTTAAAGAGCATAATGTTCAAGAAAAAGATAATAGCACAAATAGAACATAAAACAAAGTAAGAAATGCAGAAAGTTATGATTACAGTGATATGGTATGCTAACTTCTCAGAGGATATTAAAACATTCAAACAATGAAAATCATTCCATTAAAGAAAGCTAAAAAGCCACTGCCCATCATGCTGTTTCACATTTGGAGTAAAATATCAAAATTACTTCCTTAGTACTCTCTAATATTTAACATATTATGAGTAGATTATTATAATTATTTTATTATACTAAGTAAATAAAAAGTTTCTACAGTATTACATTCATAATACCACAGGAAACATGTTCATTTATAATTAAAATGTATATTTAAAATTGTTCACTTTAATTGTTTATATCTAATATAGTTACATATTTTAACTAATTAATAATAATTGTGTATTATTCAATACATACATGTACTGTTCTAAATATCAAAAAATGTATATGATAATTTAAAACTTCTTAGGAGCATTAATGAGCAAAGGTGTTTCAATCTGATGGAACCTCATAAATGGTTAATATAATCCTTCATTTTATCTAAAAAGGAAAGGAAAATAAGATAATCACTTCAATAATATATGAAGTCCCCCCCCCTTTCATAAAAGATTGTTTCTTGCTTCGTACATAAACATACAAACTGCTTAACATATATAACAAAAAATATGCAATAAATAAATACATAAAAAGAAGAGTACTTTGTAGAAGCTAAAAAACTCACTCTAGGATGAGGCACACCAGTGGAGGTATTGAAGGCAGGAATCAGCCTAAACCCAAGATCACGAGCCATGCTCAACAGTTCTCCTCTATACCAAGGCATTCGATTTAGATGCTCTTGAAGATATGAACTAAGTATATGCCCACTCAATAATCCACTGCATAAAAATATAAATATATGTAAAATATAAAGTAAGAAAATAAATTTCTAATAAATTGCAATAGCTCTTTAAACTTCTTCTTTAGATTTTTATATCTCCCCCATGGGTGTAGCCAGGATCAGAGGTGGAGGGGGGGGGGCAAACAATCTTAGACAGGGAAAATGATACTATGATATGACAAGAACTCGTCAGTGGTAGAGTAGATAAAACTGCTATTCCTTGATCATGTACAAGTGTTTTTCGAACAGATTAAATGAATTATTATACTTTACAATGTTCATTTCTTTAATTATTTAACACTGTTAAGTATTTTATCAAATTTTATACACCATAATGACTCGAATCAGAAAAGAGTTTGCAAAAATTTTCCTCCCCTTGTCATTAATCCAAGAAAGAGATCTGGAAGTTGTAAATGCCATCATCACAAAAAAGCCTCTCGTTAGCCTCCAGGGTACTAAAAATTAAAAAATTATACTTAGACCGGACAAAGAAGAAATGCTTGTTTACAGGAAACTCTTGGGATTACAACTAACATCCATTACTTATTTAGACTGTTTAAGGTGAATGTAAGCAAAAGGATATCCCAAGACTAGGTGGTCCTTATTTGTATGACTGGCTGTGAAAATCTTTGGAGCTGGGATTAAAGTAACATAAGACTAAGTTTGAGAACCAAAACCTTTCTCTTTGTGAGCTTCCATATTGGATAACTGCATATTTTTGCTTCTAGCTCTCTTACCATTAAGATGCTGGCATGCTGTTTTTCTTCCTATCGCAATATTATCAAAACTATAGATACTCTTAAAAAGGCACGATTAGACTGCCGAGTGAATTGTGGCCTCAAATGCCAATTGAAATAAAGATATTTAATCTTCCTGGTTGCTAAGTTTACTTTTCAATATGGACCAACCTTTTGTGCCATCAATGCTTCTATATCAATACTGCAAAGTCTTTTTCATTACAATTTTTATTGATTGCTACATTTATTGACCAAATACAGGAAAGCAGACGCATAAGCTAAATGTGCTACAGAAATGTAAAACATTATTAAATGCTTATATAACATTATTATATTACTATATTAGAGAAGGAGATTGGATTACACAAACTTAACCTCAAACTAAGATACAAGAGTGAGTATTTCATTGTTTGTTAGGCTTAAAACTACTTGATTGTAATGCTTTCAACTATACATCACTTAGACTGTGCACTTCACAGATGAATCACAGTTCAATCTGCAGAGTCATAATCAAAACATTTGCACAGAAAGGAATTGGCACATAATGTCAAATCGCTCATATAGTATTCTTTTGGTTATGATGGTGAAATTTTTTAAAGTTATTATATTATGGTAGAAGGAAGGCATTATGATAAATTCTTAAAACATGATAGATTTTTTTTGTGACGTCTTTCTAATGGTTAAGTTGCAATATTTTTCTAATGAATGAAAGTGCCCCCAAAATATAGCTCATATGATGAATGATTATATACTGATCAAAACAATTCATACAATGTTGCAGCGAGCATATGCCTGCTGAAATACCTGGAACAATATAAGAAAAGTTGCAGCTTCTAATAGCTTAACTCAAAGCATAAAATTTAAGAACCCAAATATATTCTGATATGAAAACTGCAATTATTGCTTTCCAACTTCATAAACTGATTGCTGGTATGAGTTATGCAATTATACGAGATTATACTGCATTCATTATACATACGCAATTATACTGCATTCATACGAGAAGAAACCAGAGAGTTTTCATTCAAAATCATAAATTCCGTTAATTACTTTCTTTATGTGCACATTCTTTTTTTAAGCCACATATAGAGGTCTATTGCATATTACTGTAAAATTTAATGTCTGCAACAGTTCTTCCTTATTTATGTAACATACTTACATTTCAGTACATATATTTTGGAAGGAAGTAATTTTGCAATACAAACAGATTTTATTATAGTATACTATATGCAATACTTTATTATATTACATTATATATAAGACAAATAGATTAGTGACAGTAAAATTTAAAATTCTTTATATATAATTGTAGAATTTCACATACCCCAACATTCTAATGTTAGTTTCAAAAACTGAAACTACAACATCATTGTCAAAAGATACATCTTTGATCACCCTCTTAACAGCTCGTTCAAACTCATCAAAATCCCCTAATACCTAAAAAGAAAAATAATATATTTCATCATCAGAAAATATTATTACAACTTTCACAACAGGAACAGCAGTGTATGAACAGTGAAAACAGAAAGAACTTACCACCAATGTATCCAAGGTATCAACCAAAGTTAAAGAGAAGCTGAAAGACAAGGTTAATTGAATTAATTACAAAAAAAAAACTCATGAGGACTATCTATCTTGGGAAGACAAGGAAAGGGAAAAAGTATTTGATGCAGAAATTTCTAAATAGAATTATATGAAAAATTGCCCTGTAAAAATCAAGAGAGAAAGATTTCGCAACAGCAAGAAATATTTCGCAACAGCACTAGTGACAAATATATACAGGTACACACAGTAAATAGATGGCCCAGTTTGAAATGTGTGTAAACAGTTTGCATACAGCACAAGAGAGAGCAGGTGTAAGACTGCCAAAGTAAGAAAATCAAAATGCTATTCTGAAGATATTTTTTTAGTATTTATATTTTTTAATTCTGAGACTTAAAATATATTACAACTTAATAAAAACAATAAGGGTACTAATGCAAAATAATAAGCTCAACAAAGCAAATTTTCAGTGGCATCTTCTCAGAAATCTGCATGTGCACTGCAGTACAAGTTAATAAGGACAATGGCATATTCATACAAAGCAAGAAGTTCACCAAAATCAATTTTGAATGGCACGTTGTTGAAAATCTACAAGTAATCTGCCTTTCACCAATGAAGAAACACATACTTTAAAATTTTATTTTCTGGACATGTTAAATAAAAACTCAAGCAAAGCACATTCCTACTCAAAATAAATAAATAAATAAATAAATCTCTCTACCAGAACCTAAAATTTCTGCTTTCTGATTGGCTACACAGGATTATTTAAAAGCAGAAAACAGAAGCTTTAGCAAAATCATATTCTTTAGAGGAACACATATCAAAATATTAATTTAAAATAGAAATAAGGTAAAAATTATTTCATGAAAACAATTCTGATTGTTAGTCCTTATTTAATAAAATAATTCAGAGATAGACTCAATATTTTGTGATTTATATCATTAGTATTAAATTTACTAATTTTTAGTACTTCATGATAATGAAACGTAAATTAACAGCAAACTACAATTCCAGATGTGGTTGATTAGCTGCTTTGGGCAAAATTTGAAGTTATACAGCCATACAATTTGATATACAACTTGACGGAAATAAAAGCATTAATGTTTACTAATTTCATTCACTTTATTACTGGTGAGTTTTACAGCCCTAGAAAAATACCACTAAAAAAAAATAACACCCTAATTTTATTTATTTTTTATTTTAAATTACTTTGTTAATCAGACAATCCCAAGTGAAGGATTTCTTTCTTTACTAAGAAAAAAAAAAGGTTTCAAGAGTCTTTATTTTTATTTGGAGTTATATCAGGATTATTTTCTCATAGTCAATATAAATCTCATCCTTATTATCTACAGCTATTGTTAATTAAATTTACTTTAGTAATATTAAATACTTATTAAAGTGAATGCTTCACATCAAAATAACATTTAGCTCTAAATCACATGATAAAACATTAGAGCAAAATTAAAGAAAAAAATGCCACACCAAATATAACATTAGACAACTTTTACAATAATTATAATAATTTTGTAATCATCAGAACTCGGCAGATCTTTGGGGCAACTGCAATAAATTACCTGCAATAGTAAACTTAATAGCCTCTAATATGGCAGTCTTTAATTTTTTTCTACATAAACTTCTTGTCTTTCATTTGTAAGCTATTCTTCAATTCATTGCTAGAGTGAGTGATATTCTACCTGCATTTTTTTATATTTATATTTTATCCATAAATAGATTAACTGCTTTTAATTTGCCATAGACTGAAAAAGAGACCATTCCGCCCTCACAAAAAAGAGGATACCACACACTATTACATGGAGTGAAAAACAATCTGACATGGTTTTGTTCAGTCACACAATGCCTAAAAAAGAAGATCATCCATGATACAAATTCGTCTCAAGAATCAAAACTTCCTTTTAAATGCATTATGCTATATTTACTATTCGTAAAAAGAAATTATATTAGTCAAGAAGTGATTTAAAAATTTAATTATTTGTTGTAATATAATCACTGATTGAATAATTTTAGAAGCAATTTGCTCAAAATGGCTAGTCAAACATGCTAAAGGTGGAACTGAAGGACCCAATAAAATTGTTAAAATCAGCAGGTCTCTTTGAATGTAGCTAAAACTGCACCAGAAAGATCATACACAATTATACTTATAAGCATCTGTAGTATGCCCACTTGGAGTATGGCCCTCTTGAGATTACTGCAAATTTAAGGCAGCAAAAAATTTCTAGAGTTTAGATTAGTTTCTTAGCAAACTGATTCCTAAAAATTCACAAGTAGCAAATTATAAACTGGATACATTTTAAATTATTTTAATGAAACAAATTAATTCAACCAAATTAATCCATAGGTTACCAATAGTTGTAGATAACTGATAACTTTCAATCTGACTGCTGACCTATGGATTGAATAACCTATGCACAGTATTCACAGATTTGAGTGGAATAGTAAATAATTGAGAAGTATATATATTGCTTTTAAATCATTTAGTTAGTTAAGCAGAGCTAAAATGTGAAAGATAAATAAAATACATGTTATGTCAAATAAAAGCACTCGAACAAGAACATGCCAGAACATAATAAAGATAAATTTAAGATCTTATATTTCATGCAGTGGCAACACTTGCCAGGTTGTGTAGATGACAAATGGTCTGATACTACAATGGAAATAATGTAACATTACCTAGCATAACATGACATAACAACCTAAATAATTCGGAAGGAATGGGCTAAAGCTTTCTCTAACATCCAAAAAAGCTTTTCACATAATAAATTCCCAATAAAATTTGGCTGTATAGTTTTGTTACTTATAATTACACACTGGCATTACAAATAATGTCACAATATAATCATACATTGTGAATACATTCAAGTTAATTTTTACTTAATTTACATGAATTTACCATTTATTATTAGCCCCTTGAGAAATTAACATAATTTATTTCAGAAACATGAGTATATATACTATATTGAAATACAAAAATTAAGACTTACTTTCCCAAAGCATCATCCACATCACCCCGATTTGGTTCAATATCACGATACCTGCCCTTGCAACTCAGAGGCATAAGTTCATCTGCTGGATATGCATGATCCTAAAAGAAATGTACGACATTAACAATAATGATTATTCTATGCACAATATAATCAGCAATTTAGCAAAACAACTATATAGAGCTTCAGTGTAACAAGTTGGACATAGATCAAATAACTAAACGAATAATTTAATTACTGCAGAAATAACACTTTCTCGGGGGAAAAAAAAAAAAAAAAAAAATGAAATTGAAAGGTTTACATATAGTATAAAGCAAAACATTTATTAACAATTTATACAGTTCTATGATTTAAAAAAATAGTACAAAGACAAAAATCAATAAATCTTCCTTTGTTGGGCAGTCAACGATTATTTCAACTTTTCTTTATCAAAAATTATTTGCAAACTCAAAAACGTATAAGTTATATTTAATTGAAACTACCTAAGGACATTCATCAAAATCTGTGAACTTTAGTTCAAGCTTTTTATTTTAAGTCTTGCTATCTCATAATGTTTACGAATTTTGGCTCTTCCTTTTCTCCCTCCCCCGTACACTAATTTTCTCGATAAATGGCGCTGATAACCTACGGATCATATGTTGAAGACGATTTGTTGAGCATAATTTGCTCCTGAAAGACGGAGATTGTCTTATTTATTTCTGCTAACGCATTTCACTTGAAATTAAATTTTCCAGAGTCGAATTAAGTTTTGTAACTTAAATTAAAGCAAAAAAATATATTATTCAGTTTTCCTTACAATTTCATTTTTACAAATTTTTAAGAAGGAGATGGAAATATGTTACCTTTGAATGAAAACATTTATATAAAATATCTTTTGCATGGAGAGGAGATACTTTATTAAAAACTCATAAACACTCATTCAAAAAATTCTCATGAACACTCATTCAAAAAATCTTGAACTCAATTTACTTTATTTTAGCTACATCTCCCCCCTCCCAACTGATGATTATTGTCTATGTTTTCAATGCCGCAAATACGAAATAACAAAGTCAGAAAACGAAAACTAACTTGTTTCCTCCCCCCCCCCAAAAAAAAATTACTTTTGCTTGCTATACGTAAGCAAACAGGGAGGGATCATTCAGTTACATTCTCAGGAATATCAGATAACACTATTCCCACCGAAATTTCTTCTAACACTCTGCTTTCCATTATTTAACCAAAGAAAATGAAGGTAGCAAAAAACTTGTTGGATACATGGCCATTATCACGGAAAACCCGAAAGACATGATTAAAAGGTTCACATCAAGAAAAAACATGCAAGAAACAGACATAAAAAACACAACCGGCGGTCTAAGGGGGGAAAAATTCGATTCTTTCGCAACAAAATTTCTCCATGTCTTTTCCCAAGGGAGCTAGTACATGAAACAATCCTATACACAGGTGGAGAACATTGGATAAGGACAAATCGAAAAAGCAGATTCCAATCTAATCCTTTCTGCTACCTTAAAAAGAAGAAATATATATATATATATACATGGGGAGAAAAAAGAAAAAGAAAGCTCATCGATGGTCTCGGTGAAAATTCCACCCACCTCTCTTCCTCGCATTCCTTCTCTTCCCATTTGAACGGCAAAACTTTTTCTTCCCCCTGGTCTATTTCTTTTGACTTTCGATGATACATAAAATGCGATCGCATTTCTCATGTGACTGTCTCTAAGAGATGGCAGAAGCAGCAGCACAAAAATAAATCAAAATTTCCAAGCAAGGAATAGAAAGCTTTCCCTGTTGTTAAGACAGCAAAAAGTATTTTCATGCAAACGTAGCAAGTGGACAAGAATACGAGAATACTTGTGAAATAATTTTACGTTTATCTATCTAATACGTTGTGAAATAACTTTAAGTTTCTGTATTTTTGTTTAGTTGAATATGTGGCCGCATACTGTATTTGTAATTGTTTATTTCGTCTATTATGTTGTAAACCTTTTAATTCATACCTGACCAATTTTTAATTGGTTTATATGATCATGGCAAAGCACCCGCGGGCTATCTGCATAAGGGAAGGGATGCCTTCGTGGACTTTCGAAGGGAAGCTGACTCGTACACGCGTTACACATGGGGAAAACCAAGAAAACACCCATGCAGCAGCCCGCTCGCCGGGGTTCGAGCCCCGACCGAAGTACCAATGATTATAGACTTTATCTCTCGGCGCTGGTGGACACCAGTATTTGAACTACAAGCAGAACTGCAGAGATGTGGGCAGAAAGCATCCTATCAAGTCCTGGCGATAAATTTGGGAATATTTAACGAGTTTTCGTCAACCTCGTTACATTTAAGAAGTTTCCGGAAAGCGCATTTTCAAAGGCCTAGGAACGATTTTTATCGAGTCTTCTAAAGTGCTTACCCTCCTCTTTGACGAAAGCAGTAAATACCGTCTTCTCTGGAGCCATGAGATAGGTATCACGTCGTCCAGAATGAGAGTGTTGTGCCACAGAACAAACAGATTGTAAATAATATTTTAGACTTTATTTTGTGAGCGATTTTTATGTTGCTATCTTCTTTGCAAGTTAAAGAGAATTTGTTGTTATTATTTTAATTATATTTATTTTCGCTTATTAGTTATTTTTGTTCAAGGTTACAAACATGATAAAAGTTGAAATAACATAAAATGTTACAGCTGAAAGTCTAATAAGAAATAAAAAAATTTATAATTATTTACATACAAATATCTGTTATTTTTTCCTGTACGCGTCAAAAAAATTTAATACTTAAAATAAAGATAAATAGATTGTCATTATTTATTCTCACGTTTTTGGCCTCCAAATTTTCGCAATTTGTTTATTTTTAATTTAAATTGTTTACTAATTAACTCAACAAATTCGAATTATTAGAAATAAATGCCAGGCTGAAATTCCTTGAAGATCACATTCTTCAGATTTTAATCAGGAAATAAAATATAAATTGGAATTTTTCCTTCGAGTCTTTATTATTACCGTTTAAGTGTGTTTTCATAAATACTTGGAAAATAAATTAAAAGTTTCGTTAAAAAATTTGTTTGGTTAAACAGATTTTCATTTGGGTGTTTAAAAAAAAACATCGGCCCGTCAGCTGCTGTCAGATCATGCATTTGGTCCGCATGCAGTCACTGACTTAGCATTTACGTTGCTATGGAATATAAATACTTAGTTCCACTATAATACTTTCCAACATAAGATTATTAAAAAGCTCAGATTTTAAAGATCTCCCAAAAGGGTTTGTTAAGATTTTTCTACGCTCTCGCTGAGCTCTCGGTCTAGCATTCTGCTGCTGCACTCACTTCTGCTAGCCCATCTCTTTTTGCCTTTTTAGCTTTATTATTAAGCATCATTTTCCTCGCACTTATTGTGCGTTTCGGCTTATTATAGACGTTGGCCACTACTAAGGCTGGAAGCGGTGGTCACTTTATTATGGAGGCACCTACTAACAGGTGTACCACCGTTGCCTCCTATGGAAGAACAGAAAATTTACAATCATGCCTTACATTCGAATTCGGGCCTTTCGGTAAGGCAGTTAGAGTCAGTAATCGCTTTCCTCTCTGGGGTGGTATAAACATTAAATGTGAGAAAAACTGTTCAACTTTGAGCCGACAAATACATCACTGCAATAAAATTTGATGCTTTGTAGTTGAACGGATTGGTTACATGAGGTTTACTGGTTTTTGAAGAAGCTCAGAATTGAGAAGGAAATCTTATCACTGAACATTTTCTGTCCAGTTTCTTCCTGTTCTTAATTCCCATTCTCGAACAAACTGTTAAGCAATTAAAGGCCCAGAATCAACCGAGCGTACAGGTCTCTTTCTGTACGGCTTGTGATTTTCTCCCTGTGTACTATCCACATAAACCTTAGTCAATGTTTCACGATAGCATTTCTCACTGAACAAACAGCTTTTCAATGCTTTGCCATAATAAATTACTGATTAATTTTTTCACTTATTCAGATTACTACATTGGACAAATTAAAAGGAAAAAAAAACTTTATTCTAAGCATACATTATTCAAATTAGAATCGTATTTACTCGACAAAGCTGATTCTAGTCGACAAAGCAAAAAGCAGTACAGGAACACAGGAAATGAAAGAAATGGAATGCTTCAGATGTCGAATCAATTATGGCACTTATCTGCAACACATGTTACCCCGAGTTCAAATCCGACTCCTCAGACAAACCTCCTCCCTTCTCTACATCTTTGTCTATACTTAAAAAAAGGTCGGAGAAGAAAGAGAGAGAAATTTCAATTTAGTTCCAACTACCCAGAGAGGCGGAACATGTGAAATCTAACTTAGATCACTTTTTATTTACGTGAAATGTTCGCAAAAAAAAAAAAAAAAAAAAAAAAAAAAAAAAAAAGAAAATGAAGGATAAAAATCGCAAATGATTTCTTTCTTTTCGCATCTTTTAAGCACTCTATAAATCCTTAAGCCAAAAGCGACGGAAAAAAATCATATATCCCTGAAATATATATTCTGTTGAATTTTCACAGAGATAAAGAAAATTTTTTAGTAGCTGCCCAATCAAGTCGGATAGAACTATGAAATAAAAAAGCCTTTTTTTAGGGGGGGGTCTAAACAAAAACTTAGTCGAAGACAATCGGTTGAAATATTGGAAAAAAGGGAATAGTTTCGCTTTCGGGAAAATAAAAAGTGAACACTTTTCTACCAACTTCCATTACATTTGATTACTTTGGAACATTCTGCAGATGCGATTGCCATTGTTCTTTCTCTTTTTCGTTAAGACAGTAAAACATTTTTTTTGCCATAAAATTCAATTGAGTAAATGAAAAAAAAAAAAAGGTAAGGAACACGATGTCCTTTATTAATTAAATAAATAAAAACATAATTTGATAAACAGCACCACAATTTCAATTTTCAATTAAGAAGCTAGAATATTACTACATTATTATAGAGCAGACAATGCATACTTGAGCTGATTAAAAAGTTTTAAGGCTGCTTCCTTTTTTTAAAAAAATCAGAGTCAAATTATTCTATGAATCCAAAATAATTTCCTTTTCAAAGAACAGCCTACTACAGTGAATTGTATTCCGTACATTGGTTTATGAATGCTTCAAAC